GAACTGATAGTCTTAAGTGACTTACTGATCAAAAGGTATACAATAAGGTCCCCGTTGTACCGTTTGTTCCCATCTCGATCTTGCAAATTATTATTCGATGATAATAATATTGTGCCCTGAATGTACAGGCACGCACCATTTATGCTGGTGTGAACAAATTTCTGTACAAATTACATGTTTCTTCATGGAAGATAATCTCAATTCTCACCTGTTTTCACTAGAAGATACAACTGCTGCGTGTTCATATGATGGAACATCCCGGCAGAATAGGTTTGCAAAAATTTACAAGTTGGACAGATGGAAGTATTGACAAAAACCAAGGTCTGTATCTTGATACTACATGTATTACCTGGAGAAGAATAAAACTTGAAGCTAATACTTCCATTGTAACAGTTTGTACTTTTTGCTTGAGATATGATGAAAAGTTTATGAGGGAATGTATGCTCAAATTTTTTATCTCTTGTACTTCATTGCTAACTTTAGAACTGTATAATCCATGCACGTTAATACCATTTTCACATCAGAGATTCACAATCTAGGTGAATATTACGACCGAGAGCCAAATAGCTTCTCTTTTCCATTTCCAGCACCCTGAAGCAGTAGACGTGTTTGAATTCTTCAAGTGGACTTCCGGGACATCTTCTTTGCCGTTTTCATGGATCGTGACAGCCCTGCTGTCAGTAAGTGTTGGACTTTCCTGGTCACTTTTATAATGAGTAAAACCTAGATTTAGATCATTATAAAGTTACGGCCCAGTGATCGTTTTTTACTACTGCTTGTTGAAGTTGGGCATTGTGAACACAGTAAAGCTGGTTACCCCCTATGAAAGGTAGTTTCAGACAAGGTCTGTTCTTTCAATACTTAGTTCTCTGCCATGACCAGGCCAACATTTAGAGCCGAATTGCTTCTCCACAACCACAGCCAACATTTAAGTAGGGAGGTATACTCACGATGCCCAACAATTGCAGCGGTTATCAGCGAAGATAGGATTAAGTGAGGTACAGGCAGAAGTGGTCTGCAGGCTTCCACGCCCCTCAAACCTAGCAACAGTGGGTTCACCATAGTTTACAGCCATTAACTTCGGATGCCAAAAATATCCAACCAGTGTACTGGAAAGCTGGTTCGCAGCTAAAGGCAGCATCAGCTGGAGCGCTCGCCCTTGTGAAGGCAGAACCTTGACACTGTGACAGCAGCGAACGATAGGCCGGCTTAGTGCCGAAGTCGCCAGCACTATTAAGAGACAAGACGTACAAACCGACCCTCACTCTGTAATACCCCAGAAACCACTGTGGGAAAAAATATGGCTGGGCCGGTTCCACTGAAGCTGGGTGGCCAGTTGCAACTTTCATCACTGCACGAAACCCCTAACAGTCCGCCACCACTGAGACACCCGATGTACCTGGAGGCACCTCTAAGTGTCTTCAAACCAACGTAAGGGGGTCGCTACTAAGATTGTGATCCCGACAGACACTCGTTTTTCTCCAGACATTAGCAATGTCAAAGCTAGTGCAGACTCCATGCCCCTGTTTTGGAGATGCGGGTGACATGAGAAAGGTAGAGGAGCGACAAGGTTTTTAATTGACCATCTCAAAGGTGAATGAGCGACTGAAACTCCACTTTTGGGGCTCACGCTCTCCGTTTGATGCCACTTCAGACACACCAAATACCTGGTGAGGGGTCTATGGAAATCTTACTTGCAACATGGAACGTAACAGACAAATGCTGCAAGTAATATCCTGAGTAATGTCCATGGGGGACTTTAGTTCCTCAATCATATATTTCGGGGAGGACGGCTAAACCTTGGCCAGAGGTTTAACCAAAACCTCTCTGAAAATGTCCCAGTAATCACAACGAAACCGGAGAAGTGAACCTCATGGCAGAAATTTAACTCTTAATGCCTTCTGGAAGCGTGGCACAAAAAGAGTAGGATCGTACCGCGTACCGCGACATCACAGTGAGGGGAGGCACAGACGAACCAGACGAACATTGTCCAGAAGCCTGAGGTGAACCCCGGAAACATGTGTCAAATTATGCCAGAGACAATCCAGCAGCCAGGGAGCCTGCGTTATGAAAGGCCAGAACGGGGAGAACCCCTGCGGATCGGAAATCACCGAGGCATTTAGCACTGCCTTCGATACGGTCAAACATGCTGTTATCCAACCAAAGTTTGCAACTTCCCGATCAACCTTCAATGCTACTTAGTGCAATAGAGTTACACAAAATAAAAGTAACTCCTGCTGCGGCCCTCGAAAAGCCGCCGAGGTTCTGCGCAGGGAAGTCACGGAGATCCGACGACATTCATCCATCTGTATTGAAACAATGTGCGGGTGCCTTATGCTACTCGCCCCGTAATCTGTTTCAGCATTCCTTAGATAGACACATGTTTTATGGGAGTGGAAAAGCGATAGTCTTCCTCTCATCTTCGAAAGGGGAGACAAGCAGAACCGGAAGGCTTCTGACCCATAATACTTCTACCAGTGGTATCAAAAGTAATGGAGAACGTTGTAGACGACCATGTCGGACAGTACTTGGACAAGAGGAAGGTACTAAGTGCTGCTCAACAAGGATTCAGAAGGGGTGGGTCCCACACTCCAAAACCTTCCAGCTGCGGTGATAAGTGGACAGCATGCTGAGACCTCCAAGTTCCTGTTCAAAAAATGTTCTTGGACTTCGCTGAAAAATATGACAGTCCCGCATACTATTCCCACTCGCAAAACATCAGGGTTGGGTGTCAACGATCTAGCGCCCTCCTTGTCGCTGGATTATTTAGATAAGAGACGACTATGAAAAAGTTAGCAGGGTTTGCTCAACCTGGAGGACATCATCATCTGGTGTATCACAAGGACCGATTCTGGGTCATCTGCTCTTCCATTTTTTGTGAACGACCTCCAATTCAGTCTCAGCTTCCAATTCTGCTTTACGCTGGCGATGTTATGCAGTGGAGAGCTTTGAAGCACAAAGCAGAATCAAGTGCACGGCAGAGTGATCTCGTATTTCTTGCCGGTGGGCGGATAACAACGGAATAGCATTTAAACTGGGTAAGTGCTGAACCATGTCTCTTTGCACCTGTGATTCTTAGAAACTACCCTGCCCTTTCTGAGGAACGCTGCTCTCCCACACCACCACGGCGAAAGGCCTGAAACCGATTCTAACTGACAAGCCAGGCACTGGCCCCAGTTACCTAATAGATGCCTCCAGAGCCTGCGCAGTACCGCACTTCATGTGCCGACAACCAGGTGCCCCCACTGGAAACCCTTCCTGAAGCTGTACAAGGCCCACGTATGACTTCACTTAGAAGTCCACAGCGTCATTGCACCACCATACCTGAAAAGAGATGTGAACCTTCCGGTTAAAGCCTAGAGGCGAGTAACAAGTGTTGTGAGAATGAGGTAAGGACCCTATGAGGATACTCTGAAGCTCCTAGGACTCTACTTAGTTACCGCAGGTTATGTGGTGACTTGATAACGGCCTATAAAATACCAAGTAATCCAAGTCATCCGAGCAGCGGAATCCTACCGAACGGACACTGTGGCGAACTTCGTGGTAATCCGAGACAGATCGTCCGCCAGGAAGGGAAAATTCATGTGCGTTCATACCTCCATCTGAGTTTGCGGCCACAAGAACGCATCACCTGGCGAGATGGCCGCTGATCCTTCTGTTGACAGCTTCAAGAAGAGGTGGGGAGCTACACAATGATGCGTGATTTACCCTCATGCAGCTAGGATACAGACTAGATTGATGTAACCTACTAGCTCCGAACAGCCCATTACAGCCAACCCGTTGCCGAGTCTTTTGTATCTCCACTATCATCGCGAACGTGAATCAGCCTTATTCGTCCCAGTGACACCTGCTAGTGGCATTATCATCTCTCTTCCCATAACTCGTTCTCCAGCCTTACCTGCTCCTGTTTCTTCTGGCTGCATTATCTCAAACTCTTTATAAAATTTCACTAACCTCCAATGAATCTAACACCCAGCATGAATAGTGCGAGTGGAGGAAACTTGTAGTTCTTGAACCCCTGCCTCTAAGTCTTAAGGCTTGATTCTTTCCTTCGGTGCTTACAGAAGTCGTTGCATTTTCCTGCTTATAGCCTTAGAGGTATTGATCGTCTATTTAAAAATATTCCATCCACAAATTGTAGATTCATTTGTTTTTGGGGCAGCGGAGCTGGTGATAAGATCAATTAACCGTTTAAAATTCCTGTTTTTGCAAGCACTTGCAAGTTAGTACTAAGCTTTACTTAAAAATTGCCGAAAAAAACGTGAGTGAGGAATGAGAAAAAGAAGGGTGAATAGCACTTAGGTTCCTAGGTACCTTATTATTTGTTTCTTCTTCGCAGTTCCTCTCTCTTGTTTTCTCTGGACATCTTTTCTATCTCCTTTAACTGTCTGGACACGTCAGTTGGGGAACCCATTTGCACCACAGTTGTTGGAAAAATCACACAATCTCTAAAAAAATGTGTGAACACCCAACCACACGTCAGGCCAACGAGAGGTGTCTTACGGGAGTGGGTAGACAATGCATCGGAACCCACTAATGAACGGGAACCATTCCGCAAGAACCAGAAACGAGTACAAAGAAATCAAATGGCTTACACCACCTTTCAAATTGATATCGAATACTGAGTCCATCTTATCAGCAGCTTCGTTGCTCCTCAGAAGAAATCAAGTTGATATTTGCAACGAGAAATCCTCCAAATAGACGGTCACTACTTCCAAAGCTATAAGTAGGAAAACCATGAAGTCTCCTGTGACTAACAAGAAATTATTACCAGAGGAAAGAATTGAGTGTCAGGAGCTAGAAGACGGACCTTAAAAACTACAAGTTTCTATCGGTCACACTTGTTTTCAGGTGTTGGATGTTCAATAGTTGTAGGTCAGCCTGACCTACTTCTTAGTTTTCCTTCACTTTTTGGAAGTTGCAGTTACCATCTGCTGCCTTTATTCCTCATCTGTGCCCAAATATCCACACTTCTAGTCGCCCTTGGACCAGGCGGTAAAATGATCAGCCTCGGCGACCTTGAGCCACTGTCGGGCGACCTTGATTCAACCTGTAGGTTTCTTTATTTTTTTGTTATTATGGTAGTATTCATCAGGAACTGACACTGAGTTACTGTCCGGTTTTTATCAATTAATTGCTTCGAGATGTGATCTCTCGAGGTTTCAATGATTAGTTTTGACCGGTGGATCAAACCAAGTTGAACGTGATTACAAATACTCGGTGATGGCATTCGACCTAGTGGCTCAGCTGTTACGTGCTAGCCACGGAATTTGAAGGTTTCGGGTTCGACCTCTGGTGGGGTCATGAGTGCGGACTACTTGGGAATTCCATTCTACGATGAAACAGCTGCTTACTATTTGTCACGTTCTCTGCGGTTCTTCAAATGTGGTCAGTCCATGATGAATACTACTTTAAAGTTGCTTTTAATTGGCCAGTCAAGTGCTTAGTGAGTTTACGTAATAACTGTTCGTAATAATAGGTAAAAATACCAGAACCACCTGTCCAAACAGCTAACCCACTACCAAGATAGCCTATATTGGTTTTTATCACAACGAAGACTGACGAATAGAGGCTTTAACGTGATTGGAGAACCGAAAGGAGAAACCTTAAATAGCAGTGAGATAGCAGAACTGTTGAGCTGCCGGTTTGATGAGCAGCTCAGCACAGTAATGCATCTACTACCAACGTTTAGTAATGTAACGAGGTTCCGGGACTACACTCTGCTCACTAAACGTGCAAAAGTGGATATCACTTAACCACTCAAGATATGGTTTTCAGGCATATCTAGGGAAGAAACAATTCTGAAAAGAAGCAATGTCGGCCTGGAGGAATGCTAGAACAGGAGTTTCTCAAGGGGCGATCCTTGTATTTTTGCCATTCAACAGTGATCTCCCTGCTCAAGTCTCCTTGTCTATCCTCCTATCTGCCGACGACATCAAAATATAGAATGCATATATGAATGCATTGGCTCAAGTTGCCACATTTCATAGTAGTGCAAAAAGAACAGTTGAATAGAGTAAGAGTAATATCAAAGTGGACAAAGTTGTGTGGGAGAACAAGCAGATGAAGATAATAGTTAGTGCGAATATTCGAGCTTTAGAAGATGCTAAGGAGTAAATACATCTGCGCCACTGTGACCAGTCTTCAACCCTGTCACCAGTGATTCCTGTCGTCTTAGGGACCCCAGCTAAGGAGTCTACATCTCTCCACACGGCTCATACCAACAATGAGAGACTTCGTCGACTGGTGTCATAGACACGGAAGAGGGTGCATCGATCATGTTTTCACCTCCGACAGGTCCTAGAACACAGGCATACCTACCGTTGACCGACACTTGGCATATTTTTTGACCTAAAGGCTGGACTTGACTAAGTCAACTGTGACTGTAAAAGGAGAACTTAGCAAGTATATAGCGCTAATCAAAGCTCTCTACTCGAACTCACACAGTTCTGTCAGGGCTTATGGAGTGTTGTCATGTGAAATGACGAAAACTAATGGTGTCTGCCACGGATGCCCACCGTCCCCGTTCCCATTTAATTGCGTTGTAGACCTACTAGTGAAAATAATCTCAGGTAGGTATGACTTCACAGGGACCGACCTACTCCCTAGAGGTCATCTGGTTGACTTGAAATATGCAGACGCCATTGTCCAGCTAGGTGATGTTGACAAAACGTAGCGCTTTTTAAACACGTTGAGCGGAAATCTGAGCATGTTTGGGATGCGTTTCACACCTACCAAGTGTAAAATGATGCTTCGAGACTGTTTAATGACAGTTTAATGATAGAGAGTGAAGTAGTGAAACATTACGACCACTCCACTTACATGGGGGAGTTGCACCAGCCCCAATGGGATGGTTGTTGACGATATCTCAACTCGGATACAGAACGCCCGTTTGTTATTCGCCAACTTGCTTCAGCTGTGCCGCCAACTGGCGAGATATCCGACTACCTATCAAAGGACGAGTATACTCCACTGCACTGCAGTCTGTTTTGTCCTATTATACGGCTGTGAGGTGTGGCCATTAAAAGTAAGAAACGTAAAGCGACTACTGGGTTTCAATTATCGGTGTCTTCGTAGCGTCGTTCAAGTTTAGTGGAATCACCGTGTGAACAATGTTGAGGTCAGGCGAAAGGTACCAGGCAAGACAGGTAAGTTGATTAATAAAGTTATGAGCCTTCATCGACTGAGATGGCTTGGATATATGTTGTACATGCCGATACGCCGCCTAACTCGATGTGCAATGCTAGAAGTTGGATTAGGCTAGAAGAGGGTTCAGAGTGACCAGACCAAGACCTGACACCAGTCGATGAAGTCCCTGACCGTTGTTCTGTGTCGCGTGGTGAGGAGATGTAGACTCCTTAGCTGGGGTCCCTAAGACGACAGGAATCACTGGTGACAGGGTTGAAGACTGGTCACAGTGGCGCAGATGGATTTACTCCTTAGCATCTTCTAAAGCTCGAATATTCACATTAACTATTATCTTTATCTGCTTGCTCTCCCACACAACTTTGTCCACTTTGATATTACTCTTACTCTATTCAACTGTTCTTTTTGCACTACTATGAAATGTGCAACTTGAACCAATGCACCTGTGTGGGAGATTCTAAGTCGATTTTGTCAGTCAGTGTCACTTATATCGCTAGATGATGTGAATCAGTTGCTAAACACTCTTGATGAAATGGTTATAAATCGGTCATGATGGCACAGATTTTTTCGCTCTTCAGTGTCTTCTGAAGGCTAAGCATTTTGACTAACGTTAATTTCCAGATTCCTTCTCCTATCCACTGCTGTCCATGTCGGTATCTTTCTTTCTCTATCGACTTGTTCTTTGCGTGCTACTGTAGTGTTGCAACTCGAGCCGGTGCACTTGGGCGTGAGGTTCTAAGTCGGTTTTGTATTTTTGTTTGTTTCTTTATGGTGTATGGTTGTTGTGCAGTAGGCCTTATTCAACATCTCATATTATTTTTCTTGTTTGTTTTTCTTCCATGGAAAATTCTTTGCTATGTTTGTTTCACTACTCGATAGAGATCCTTAATCTGTTTTGAAATTTAAAATCACACGCATTCGAAAATGTTGTGGTGAATATTGTTTTTTATTTTAACTGTCTCATTGGTTTTTATCGTTTCAGTTTTCCTACTAGCAGACTTTGAACTCTCACGGTGGATAACATCTATAGTGTTGCATATTCAAATGAGTCGTGTTTTAAGATCTAGCATCAGAGAAAATAAGTCACAAAATGTTACATCTAATTTACAGCTCGACAAAAGAGTTTTTTCTGCATCGCATTCCGTATCGTCAAGATGTCCAAGTACTTCAACTCGACGTCTCACTCAGGCAAAAGGATCTCATTCTTCCAATAATCTCAAAGAGATCCCTGCATTTGTTAGTTCTGAATCGTCTGATGCGCAAGATAAAGTCCATGCATCAGACGAACCTAATGCATCTCTTGATACTTGCCAAGAAATGTCTACATCTGCTGGTTATGGATTTTCAGCTGCACAAAGTTCAGTCGATATCCTGAATAAATCTGACTCCCCTCCATCAGAGAAAAACGATGGATTGATTGTAGGTAGAAAAGACAAAATTGAATATATAACTTCTTTAATTCAATCTTACATTGATACGAGGAAAAGTGCAAGCATTTACATCAGTGGGGCTCCTGGAACAGGAAAAACAGCTGTTGTACTAAATGTTGTTCACGATTTCAACAAAGTCGGGAGATGTGATACTGTCATAATCAATTGTATGAGACTTACTTCGTGTGCGGATATTTTTGCACAAATCGCCATCGATTTAAGAGCTTACAGAAATAAGGAAAATCATCCTATCACTGATGCTGTTTCATTGGAGTCCTGTTTGAATGATTACTCAGAAAGGCGAACCATTATTCTAGTTCTAGATGAAGTAGATCAACTGTCTTCACGGGGACAAGAGTTGCTGTACAGGTGATGTCTCATTTCCTCTAGATTTTTCTTACTTTTTCCACTATTCGCATATAAACCAGTATAGCTTTGGTCTAAAACTGATTTTATGCGGAGTTGGGAAGGTCTCCTGTAGTTGTTTGTTGTAATAGGCTAACCGAGAGTTTCCAACTCTTCACCTATTGGTTACTATTCTGCTATGAGCTAAAATAAAAAAATAGCCTGTTTTATTTACCGGGGAAAATAAAGTCACGTCTTCTTACTAAATTCTGAATTCCAGATCTACTATTGTCAAACCTTACTACTTTTGCATGTGACGAGTGTTTTGGATTAATGGAATAACACCTAATTCATATAGTGCATTTTCGTTGTACCTTACTCAGCAGTAACGCTACATATCAGCATGCTCATGACATGAGAGTAGCGTCATTTACATGATATACACTTCATTGAATATGAAGAGTAGATGAGTTTCCTAAGTGGTTCAAAGTTCTTCGTCTTATGGATTTTTACGTTGTTTTTCCCACCCCATATTAGACTTTACTTTAATGATGCAACGCTACCGTATTTCACCGTATCGTTTTTCAGGTACCTCAGAAAAACCTAGCCTTCCACGGTTTGGGCAGCAGGAAAGTGTCAACCGCCGTCACAACTCTGCAAGCGCTTAAGTCCCCTTAGACTAGTATCAACCTCCCTCATCCTTACATTCTAATCTTCCTTCATCTCTCTCAGTTAACAGTCCCACATCATCGTTAATTTCTTCTAGCTCTGCAGGTTTCGACAATGATTTGAGTCCATAGAACAGCATCAATGTCCTCCTTAAACCACGCTCCAAATTGCACATCGGAGCCTTCAATGTCATCACCCTATGTCGAATTAGCCAAAACTGTAGCAATTAGGGCCGTAGATGTGCGGTGTGTTTGTGAGACATCCATACAACAATCAAGTGGAGCTATTCACTTAACCTCTCCCGGCCACTATGGTGAATCCGCAAAGTTTCTGGAAATTCGATAGCTAGTTCTTGAGGTCTTGCAGATATAGGTATAGCGTTAGGCACTAGGGGGAGGAAGCCCACTACTAGACTATATCCAAGTTGACAGTCGCCTATGCTCTGTCCGGCTAAACAGCACAGTGAAAACTAAAAGGAATAGTGGAACTTGCTGTTCTCTCCTTGTAATCTCTGCTTACGCACTCACTGATTGCAGTTCGGATGAATTGAGGGATGAGTCCTACCGAAAACTACCTAGTTTCCTACTGAAAACCAAACGTTCAAACATGGTTGTTCTGCAGGTGATTTCAAAACACAAGTGGGTAGACTGAGTCAGACAGAAAGGCATATAGGTGGCACTTTTGGAATCCCGGTTGAACGAACAGATAATGATGATCGCCTACTGCAGCTATGCTCGGATAACCGTTTATGTCTAGGTGTCACAAACTTCAGACATAAAGAAAAACATTGTCTGACGTGGCATCTACCCAGCTCAACTCATCGATGGACACAGATGGACAACATTGCTATCAGCCCTCGATGGAATGAGTCGGTGGAAGACTACCACTTTTTCTGGAGTACGTGTTTAAATAGCGACCTCGAGTTGGTTCGAGCGCGTTTATGTCTGCACCTCAATTGATGCAGAAAACTTAAGCAACAAGACCATTACAAACGCAGCTCGACAACGACAATACTACGGTCGCTTTCAGTGAGAAACTGGCTATGCAGTTATGGGAACAGAACACTACCACTCGTCTAGAAGAGGCTTTGTGACATCTCCAGTCTGCTGTGAAAACAGCGTTGAAGTCCATAGCCGAATTTCAAAGAGTGGTTAAAAAAAGAGTCAGTGGATATCAGCAGCTTCTTCCGAACTGATGGATGCACGTGAACCCATTCCTGCGGGCTCTGAGTACAATGAGGAACGAACACAACTCAAGTGTAGACTGGAAAAGAGTCTATGCAATGAACGCGAACGGTGGTGGGCAGTGAAGGCTAAAGAGATGGAAAAGGCAGCGGTGATAGGTAACAGTAGGCATTTATTAAGACATTAAGGAAACGGGCGAAAAGCTCAACAGTTAGTGAGACTGTAGCGGAGAAGGGTGGATCTGCGATTCACTCTTAGGGAGATGACTGAAACAATGGGCAGAACACTTCGAGAAACAGATCAACTGGTATCCATCCACCATTGGGTTGCTTGCTGTCCAGTAGAATCTTGAATGGAACATTGAGGTAGGTTCCCCAACACTTGGAGAAGTCTAAAAAGCTGTAGGTGACTTGAAACGAGGAAGGGTAGCAGTACCAGATTGACTAGTTCCTCTGGGACATAAGGACGATGGTAGAGTGATTTTTGGTCAAGTTAACTGGTGTTAACTAGTTCGTATGGGTCAAACATAATCTCTTCTAACTGGTCTCAATCACTGATTATCGCTGTCTTCAAGAAAAGTGAGAAGTCCTCTTTGATAAGCATGGAGGAATCAGCCTGACGAACATAGTTTCTAAAATTCTAGGCTTTGCGTTCATTAGAAGTTTAAGTAGAACTCGGGAACAGCGAGCCTGAGAAAACCAGGTAAGCTGTAGACTTGACTGTGTGTGTATCGACCAAATATTCACGCTCCGCCGGTTTCTGGAATACAAGCATGGTTACTGACGCCCAACAATAGCTGAATTTTTTGACCTGAAGGCGGGATTCGACTCCGCCGACCGAGAAGTCTTTCACTGAAAGGGGGTACCGAGTAAGTAAATCATCTTACTAAAGGCTCTTTACTCGAACACCTGTGGGCGTTTCAGAGCCTATGGTAAGATGTTAGGTGAGCTGCATACGTCGAGTGCTGTCCATCAGCAATGCCCACTCCCTCCATTCTTGCTCAATTTTATCATAGATGCTGTTGTGGCGGTTTCCCTCTCGTCATCTGACGACATACTACACGGTTACAGATGGTTCGATTTGCCAACTTACACCGTCTATGGCGCCATCGCGATATCCGATTGTCTATCAAGGGTCGAGTGTACTGTGCTGCGGTTCGCTGTTCTGGCTGTGAAACATGGCCATTCAAGGTAGGAGACATGAAAAGGCTTCATGTGTTTGACCACCGTTGCCATCGTATCATAGGCCGTGTCTCATGGTGTCACCACGTGAGTGACGCAAAAGTCAGGCGTAGAGTTTTAAGGAAAGTCATTTGATGTGTTTCTAAATCTTCATCGACTGAGATGGCTAGGACATGTGTTACGTATACCTAGCCACCGTCTGTCTCGTTGCAAAATGTTGGTCGAAGTAAATTTAGGCTGGAAGAAGGCTCGGGCGGCCAGACTAAAACATGGCATCACTGTTCGTTTGAGCCTTTTGAGGCTATGCAGACTAAGCGGTCGGGGTCTATGGGACAAAAGAAACTAGTGGTTGGGGACTCTAGGTGATATGTCTCAGAACCGATGTCACTGGCGCAAATCTATACACGCAGTGTCCTCACCTTAACTACTATACATAATTTCATCATTTTCTCATTCTCCCCTCCTCTCTTTTATCACTTTCTACTTCTGTTGGCCTATTTTCCTCTCTTTCTTCATCCTCCACTTTATTGCCTTGTTACTTGATGTGCTTATATGAGGTGTGGCAACTTGGACCTTTACGCAGTAATGCCTAGTCCTATGTTGATCTTGATGATGATAATGACCGTATTCAACAGTAGACTGTTAAGCGTTTGTAACGGTTATAAATACCATTGCACAACTTTAGAAAACTATGTAATCGGAAAAAAACTTTTCTTTCATTTGTCTTCTCTTTTCTTCATGGTTGAATAATTATTTTCATCACTAGTTTACTGATCCAAATTTCCCTCTACTAGATTTTTTTGTCTGAGTCCCTGAGTCGTAAAACAAGCTCTCCTGCTGTAGGTGTTAGTTGTGGCCTAGCCTGTTAGTCTATACAAAGTTGTTGAGTTATAATACAATAATATGTTGTATAATTTGAATTGCTATTGCAATTCGCGTTTTGTTGTTTTCTTCAACTTAATATTATTTTTGATTCAACAGGATTTTTGAATGGCCATCCAAACTGACATGTCATATCATTGTAGTTGGAGTTTCCAACGCTTTAGATTTACCGGAACGTTTATTGCCACGCTTAAAGTCAAATGTTCATAAACCGGTTCATATTGTATTTCAACCTTATTCGCAATCAGAACTGGTGGACATCGTTCAAGCTCACTTATCTAAATCTGTGAATGGTGGATCATTTATAGAACCTCTAGCAGTGCAACTGTGTTCTAGAAAGGTAGGCTATTTGCATCATGACTCATTTTCGCTTGCAATTTATCTACATTCTTGTCTTTTTTTGGAGAGGGGGGGGGAATTTGATAGATTTGAGGTAAAATTCATCGTTAAGAGTGAAAGGAATAGTAGCCAATGGGTGACATTGCATGTCAGTCACACTCCAAGTCACATGTTACCAGTTTTTAACCATAAGAATTCAGCATATTGTTTAATGAACTCAGTGTTGTGAATTTGATTTAGAAAGGCATTGCTAGTGCAAACAAACAGATAGGTACAGAATCAATCTCGTACATGAATGCATTGGCTCAAGTTGCCACATTTCATAGTAGTGCAAAAAGAACAGTTGAATAGAGTAAGAGTAATATCAAAGTGGACAAAGTTGTGTGGGAGAGCAAGCAGATAAAGATAATAGTTAATGTGAATATTCGAGCTTTAGAAGATGCTAAGGAGTAAATCCATCTGCGCCACTGTGACCAGTCTTCAACCCTGTCACCAGTGATTCCTGTCGTCTTAGGGACCCCAGCTAAGGAGTCTACATCTCCTCACCACGCGACACAGAACAACGGTCAGGGACTTCATCGACTGGTGTCAGGTCTTGGTCTGGTCACTCTGAACCCTCTTCTAGCCTAATCCAACTTCTAGCATTGCACATCGAGTTAGGCGGCGTATCGGCATGTACAACATATATCCAAGCCATCTCAGTCGATGAAGGCTCATAACTTTATTAATCAACTTACCTGTCTTGCCTGGTACCTTTCGCCTGACCTCAACATTGTTCACACGGTGATTCCACTAAACTTGAACGACGCTACGAAGACACCGATAATTGAAACCCAGTAGTCGCTTTACGTTTCTTACTTTTAATGGCCACACCTCACAGCCGTATAATAGGACAAAACAGACTGCAGTGCAGTGGAGTATACTCGTCCTTTGATAGGTAGTCGGATATCTCGCCAGTTGGCGGCACAGCTGAAGCAAGTTGGCGAATAACAAACGGGCGTTCTGTATCCGAGTTGAGATATCGTCAACAACCATCCCATTGGGGCTGGTGCAACTCCCCCATGTAAGTGGAGTGGTCGTAATGTTTCACTACTTCACTCCCTATCAATCAACTGGGGCTGGTTGTAGGCCAATCATGGAGTATAGTGTAAACTGCTAAAGTCTTTTTGTCCCTGATGTCCCGTTTATTTCAGTTTATTTTCACGCCTCGTGGCTGCTTTCTTGCTTCTATAGTAAATTCGGTCATCGCTTATAATGTGTGAACATTTACCAAGCGGTGATACTATTAATTAAATGGAGATACTGAAGGTAATAGTGTTTATATAAATTTATCTGCATACTTAGTAGTAGCAAGGAGATGTATTATTCATATGGCCTACCAAGGCATGGAAACTGAATATATTAGTTAAATTCACTCTAATTAAACTAAGTCTAGTCACTGCATTTTTACAACACCAGGAAGAGATATTTTTCCGACCCCGACTATGAACTAATTTTTGAGTAAAACAGATAGTACTGTGAAAGATTTTACTGAAAAACTTGGGTAGTTGGAAACCACGCAAAGTGATCTGTAGATGACACTTTTATGTTGGAGATCACATCTTTCGATCCTAACTGGGGGTGGGGGGGGGTGGAGGTTTCTGATGAAAACTCTGTTAAAACCACAGCTTGTTCAATTTGTAAATCATGTGCAAATGGATCATTGTTGTCTAGATAGTACTGTGAACCAAATAACTCAGCCTCAGTGATAACTACCATAGAAGTTAGTTGTTATTGTAACAGATAACGTTATGAATTTAAGACACGATTTATTTTCAATAATTACATCATAGGCTAATACTTAACAAGATAGATACTGTCTGACCTTAAGAAAATTGGTAATTGTATCTCATGTCGATGTGTAATAACAACAGTTTTCACAGTAATATGTACAAATGTTAAAACTATTTTTTTTATTGTCTCTGTTGTTTAGATTGCTGCTTCTACAGGTGATGCACGTACTGCTTTAGATGTATGTCGCAGAGCGATCGATTTAGCTCAGCAAGAAGCTCGGTCAAAAAACATATCTGATAAATTTACCCCTTTGCATACAATGGATATCACTCCCAGATTACCTTCCATAAAACACATCAGTAGAGCATTGAAAGAATCTCAGGTAAGTTTTTTAGTCTGAAATTTTATCGTATATTTTCCACCCATTTACGAAGAAGTATATCTGTCATTAGCTAATCAGAATCAAAGATTAGTCAGGTGGTGGATAAATCTATTGTACTGTAATAAATTTTGGGTCATGTCATGTAGAGTTGAAAGTTATTAGTTTTATCATCTTACTCACCATGAATGTAAAGAAAACATGTATAACTCGGCATAGTATTGCAATAAGACTTACAGTTCCCTACATAAATCGTACCTGTTTCCAGTAACTCAGTGAATAACTTTCCTGTTCTAATGGTCCTTTAACTATATAGTAATGGTGAATAGTAGCTAATAGTGGAATCCAAGATGCGCATTTCGTCCTATTTGGGACTCGTCGGCCGGATGTACCTGCCTCCCAGTGAGTGATGTTGTTTCCACCGGGGATTCAAACTTGGGACCGATCGCCAGAGTGTTATCCACTAGACCACCGAGACACGATAGTCACTTCTTGTGCGACGGGTACAGTTTTAGTGTTATTGCTTGTTATACCGTCGTATAATACTGCCGTAGAATGCAAGTAATAATACTAAAACTATACGCGTCACACAAGAAGTGGCTATCATGGCTCGGTGGTCTAGTAGATAGCGCTCTAGTGTTTGAAGCTATCGCTCCCAAGTTCAAATCCCGATGGGAATAATATCACTCACTGGGAGACAGGTACATCCAGCTGACGAGTCTCAAGTAGGACGAAATGCGCATCGAGGATTCCACTGCTAGCCACTATCCATCATTACTATATATAATTAAAACATGGGCAATATCGAGGCATCTGCACAAGAGCCCATATGCCAATAGAGCTGAGAATACATTTGAATTGTGTCCACGAACGCGTTGCTCAAGCTGGGACATGATACGGCGATGTACTCGGCTCCACATAAGGAAGTAAGCTGATATACACACACTGATGTGGCTCAATACTTTAGCTTATCCTCTGTTCACTGATGAGTTTCTGACAGGAGAATATGATTCAAAGATTGGCGGCAAAGAATATTCTGTTTCTCTACCTTGATAGTCTCTCTCTAAGTACATCTGCTGCATCATCTCAGTTGAATTTGGGTTCACTAGTGAAATCTTTCTCGGAGCAACATGTACGCGTTCCGTGAAGTTTTTCTGCTTTAGATTCTTATCTATAAATTTCAATGGGACTCCATTTTTCATCAGGACTTCTTGCAAATTGTCTAGTTCATCATGAGTGGTATCCTCCACGCATATTTTTCGTATTCTTTAGGAGAGTGAATTGATAAGATTCCTCTTTCTACTTAAGTGCATATAGCTCTAAAAATTAATCAACTGCCCGCTCCAGGTGGGCTTTCTGTAAATAGATCTGTGGACTGAATTTTCATCTTTTCTTTGAAGTTGAACGTCAAGAAAGTGGAAGTTCGAGTTCGACTCTTCTTCTAGAGTGAATTTGATAAAGAGATGAACATTATTAAGGGTTTGAAGCAGGTTCTCGAGATTCACACAAATATTATAAATAACCTCATGAGCACCTGCTTGTCTTTAGATTCAGTAATGATATATCATTAGCGTTCACACCAATATGTGAGTTTATGGGAAAAACTTTCTGTAGTGTAGCATTTGCAAAAGATATTTCAAAGAATAACCCATTCCATCAATGGAGTAGAATGAGACACCTAAATATAGAATGTACTTGTCATAATTTACACCATATGTGAAAGGAATGTGAGAGAAAAAGGGAACATGTAAATAGATAAAATTTTCAGAATTTCGAAATTTAGCAAAAGTGAGTACTTTAAAAACCCCACACACGTTATAATTTCAGGTCACAAGGTCTATTTTGATAATATCAAAGTAATTCAAAATGGCTTCCATAAATTATAAAGAACGTCTCATAGGACAATCTCTTCATATTAAAATTGGAATCAAAATGATATCCTTTCCTGCCTTAGTGGCCCTAATGGATAACGCCTTGATGTTTGAAGGGATGGGTACTTGGCTCGAATCTCAGTGAGAATAACATCATTCACTAGGGTGCAAGTACATCCAGCTGACAAGTCCCAAATAGGACAAAATGCGCCTTCCGGATTCCACTGTGAGTCATAAAGATGAGTACAACATCATGGAATCAAAATTATCTCAATAGGAATGCAGGAATGAAACTTTGTGTAACCTGGTCTCAACCCACCCCAACATACCGACATAACCAACATACATACGACACAAAACATATGTACGTACGAGTCTCAATCTGTAATTCACACACTCTTCACGCATAATGCATTACATATGGATTCCATTGACATTAAGTAGCGAAACGTCAGTTAAAACAAATTTTATTTTATTTTACGTGTATTGGGAAATACAAATGCTAAAATAGTGAATATCATTTACCCAATGTCCAAATTCTTTTCAACTAACTAATTCTAATGTGGACGTTTCAAGCGACTTCGTTGTTTTGACAACTTCTGGATGAATTCTTAAAGATGAGCTAACCACATTTGAAGCCCACTGGGAGAATCCGATGTGAAAGTTGAAATATTTCCCCATTAAGGATTGTTAGCTAATTACTGTCTTGAATATTTTCGACCATCTTATCTAAATACTCATAAGTTGTTGTACTTGCCTCTATTAATTAGATAGTATTTCAATAAATCACGTGTCATCCAAGCAGACTTATACTTTTGGACAGAATGTGATGTATATTGTTAGTGATTACATTTATTACTTGTTGTGATGTTATTATTATTAAGAATAAGTTTACTTTGATAGTTTATGAAGTCACATTTACGATAATATTGAAATTATCATATAACATTCGTTGACAAAAACTGTCGTTTTGGGAATAATCATAACTTACAAAGCCAAAACAGGTCGAGAGAAAATTATTAGTTAACTTAAATCAGACTTGTTCCACATAGTTTCACACTTTATCACGGGAAACTAAAAAGTTTAAAGGAAATAAAATTATATCAACTCATCCTAGAGGTTTTATTACTTCTTATACCTGCAAAAGTTCATGTCATTCATGTGTTGAACATAAACCTATTATTATTATTATTATTATCTATTTTGAGTCACTGAACAAAACCTGTTTGCTTTGTCCTTCATGTGTTACCATAGCTGTGCACAATAATAGCATCTTCAAGGTAATATTTTAGTCGTAGAGAAAAAAATGAGTATATTTCTGTGATTTGAAGAAACACTTTGTCAGTGAATGGCATTTAAAGGTAAAATATGAATCTGTAACTTCTTATCGACTGTCTTCAAGCATCTAAGGCTGAAAATACACTTCATGTCAATGAGTAGACTTGAATTAGAGACTCATATCATTCTTATTTTGTCTATTGTTCAATAATTAATTCATGTAAATTGTATTGCTATTCGTAGCTGTTGCATGTTAACTGTCGCTTCAATCACCTTGCTGCTTTCAACTATGAAGTCTTGGCTCATCTGTTTATATATTTGACTTCCAATCGGATAGTCACATATCTGAACTCAGCTTCACCTACTGAGACCTAAGCACCTAGGTAGTATTATTAGTTCTTACATAATAGGTGTGACTCATTCTTTACTACATAAAAGTGGACAGGGTTTTTGAGAGGATTTTGATTTTTCTTTTCTATTCTTTTAAGGTTATATGCCTGAGTTTAATTCATTTAATTATTTTGTTGTCCATCAGGTTGACTCTTCTTATGAAGGGATATTATCCCAGGGCAAAAAGACTACTACTAATGGTTGTGAACTACCATTGCATCATAAACTTCTATTGGCTAGTTGCCTTCTATTAAGACAACAGAAAGGTTTACGTGAATTACCATTCAGTATTTTATATGAAACATACTTAATAGTTTGTAAAACCAAACAAATTACAAATTTGAGTGAATCTGAACTGTCTGCTGTTTGTGATTTGCTTGATTCACGTGGATTTATTCAATTCACTGGTCCACGTTATTCAGTTAAATCTACATTAGGTACACCTGCACGCTTAAGGCGTATTAGATTACGTTTAGATGATCGTGGTGTTCATCATGCTCTTATGGATGATCTCCTGTTGTCATCAATAATGGATATGAAACTGGGAAAATGACTGCATTTTGATATAACTTCTACCTCACTACCTATATATGTAAATGTTAAACAGTTGTATAATGTATTTCTTTGTTATAAACTATTTATAAGTAAAAGTTTTTTATGAATTTTTCCGTTGTCATATTTTATTGTATTTTTTTTCTAATTTACTGTTTGATACCTGATATCATTTTGCTAATATATATGTTTCTGAGCATCTAAAACCTTATAAAGTATATCATGGGTCAAGCCTACCTACGCGGATTATTAAATGGCTTGTAACTACAGAATGACCCAATCATGCTAGCATAACTTATAACCAATTAGAACCCCACACAGAGGTACATCGGCACGAGTTGCCACACTTCACAGTAACATGCAAAGAACAGGTGGGTCGAAAAAGAGTGATATCAAAGTAGATGAAGTTGTGTGAGAGAATAAACAGTCTGAAGATGAAGGTTAGAACGAATATTCAAGCTTCAGAAGATGACAGGGAGTGTATATATCTGCACCATTGTGACCGATTTTCAGCCATTTCACAAAGAGTCCTCAACCACTGTTTCCTTTCTACTTAGGGACCCCAACTAAGTAGTCTAGATCTCCTAATACAGCTCAGACTAACAATGGGCGACTTTATTGACTAGTACTAGGTCTTTGTCTGGCCACCCTGAACCCTCCCAACCCAACCCAACTTACTTTAGTATAGCACGTCGAGGTAGGTGATGGCTCGGTATACGCAGTACGTGTTCAGTCTGTCTCCGTCGATGAACATTCGCAACTTCATCAATCGACTCACCTTTCTTATCTATCACCCTTCACCTGAAATGATGTCATTCGAACTACTACTGGGAACGATAGTATTCGAAGTATCTGTATTTACCCTGGTTTGAAACTTCAGTAATGATAGTAATAATAATTACTCTATTCCAAACCATTTTCGATACAATCTGGAATTCTCAACAAAGTAATATTCCAATTTGACATAGTCCATTTTAAGTAGACCAGGAAAGGTTAACGTTCTATAATAAAAAAAGAAGAGCCAAGTACAAGAAGGAATTAAAAAATTTTAAAAGTAGAGACTGAGTTAAACCAGGGAGTGTATTGCATTGAACGAAAGATTTTCTTGGAAGTCAACAAGATATGAGACGGCCAACAAAGATCAGAAGAAAAACTCAATCCAAGATAGTTGAAACCCGATTTCCTTTCGTCAAGAGTACTATCAAACCACACGAGTCATGAAACCGAAGCAGCTCACACAGTTTTTGTCAATGGCTGAGGCTAAAGTTAACAGTCTGACATTTAGAAGGATCCAACCTGAGACTATTTGAGAAAGACTACCAACCAATTTAAGATTTTTAAAAAAACCATTCAATCAAGAGTAATCCAACTTAAAGGTAACTGGCATGGAAACTACCAGGTCATCAGCGTACTTAGTAAAATTAGCTTCAGCAGAACTCGGTAAACTTAAGGTTCCCTGATGACTTGCAGAACTGGCATATCTCATGGTAAAAATTTAGCATTATAGCAATATGTGTTGAATCAGTATTTGTGTTCATGTGTCACTAAGTATCTTCCATAGCTTCACAGCTTATAGGATCCATTTTCCAACATTGATTGGGAATAAAGAAGAACGTTTACTGAAAAGATCATTTTGAAGAGATGATTGCTTTGATAAGTTTTCACAAGCAAATTACTGAGAAGTCCCAAAACATATTACATTTATCCAGCAATCATTCCGGTAGTTTTACACTTGAGGTTGGCTTGTAAAAATTTCTTACCTACTTTTTAATTTATCCACTGAATTTATAGATGTAGACTATTTGGGAATTGCTATTCTAATGTGTAACCACGCCTGGTTAACTAGTTCACTAGTTGACTAGCCCGGGTAAAGAGGGAAGGTTGGGCAATAGGGCTAGCAACCCTACACCGGAAAACCAATCCAACCGCTAAAGAAACTTCTAAGCACAAATAAAATATAAAAAATGAAAACAAACTTATTCCCCGCTGGGATCGGAGAGGCGAAATGATGCCGGTTGGTAAAAGCCTTGGGGAAGCCAATTGGCCGATATGTCTTCTCTCTCTTGATGAAAGCAAAAGTAAATATGGGAACATGGAATGTCTGCATCATGTATGAACCTGGCAAGGCTGTCCAGATTGCAAACGATATGAAGAGGTATCACATTGAAGTACTAGGAATCTGCGAAAGCAGATGGAATGGAAGTGGAGTCTCCAAACTGTCAACTCCGATGTTGTCACTCGGATGACAACCACGAGCACACTGAGTTTCGAGTGGCTATCATGATGTCTCCAAGAACATCGAAGGCTTTCATGCAGTGGGAACCAATCTCCTCCTGTAGGATCATGACAGCAAGATAGATTCAGCTCAAAAGGAAGGAAAGTCACAATCATACAACGCTACGCACCTACAAATAGCGCAGATCAAGAGAATAAGGAGGAATTCTACAGACAGTTGCAATCAGTAATAGACAAGACACCACCCCAGATGGCGACATCAAAATTCTAATGGGTGGGGTGACATGAATGCCAAACTGGGAGCAGACAACACAGAAAGAGAACCAATCATGGGTTGAGAAGCACTCGGTGAAATGAATGAGAATGGAGAACTGTTTGCAGACTTCTGTGCATTCAACGATTTGGTGGTTGGAGGCAGTGTGTACAAATACAAGGATATTCACAAAGCGAGCGACATGGATTTGATTTCACCAGGACACTAAAAATCAGATCGACTACATCTCAATCTCAAGAAAGTGGAGACGCAGTCTACTGGACACAAGATCAAGAAGAGGAACAGATGTAGGTTCAGACCACTCACTATCTAGTGCTAGGAATGCACCTTCAAAATCAAGTTGAAAGCCTTCAGGGAAGTTGGTGATAGACCACAGTTCAAGTACAACACTCAGAACAGAAAATGAAGGACAAAACTACAAAGGACATCTTCACGTCAACCATCAGGACAAAATGGGAGATATCGACGAACATCCCTGAAGAAACCTGTGTGGATGAACACTGTAAGTCTTTGAAAGCTATGTGGAAAGAAACCTGCATAACCGTATTAGGAAGGCAGGTAAGTCGATTAATGAGCTTGTGAACCTACATCGACTGAGATGGCTTGGACATATGTTGTACATACCGAGCCAGCGCCTACCTCGACGTTTCATGCTAGCAGAAGTTGACTTAGACTGGAAGTGTTCAGGGTGACCAGATCAAGACCTGACGTCAGTCGATAAAGTCTCTGACTGTTGGTCCATATCATGTGGACTGTCAGGTTGCAGTCTGCAAGACGAAAGGAATCAGTGGTTGAGAATTCTTGGTGACTTAGTTGAAAATCGGTGACAATGGGGTAGACGTACTCACTGTTTAACAACTCCTAAGGCTTGAATTTTTGCACTAACCGTTATGTTCATCTGCATGTCCTCTCACGTATCTTTTTCCACGTTGATATTGCTCTTATCCCATCTACTTGTTCTTTGTGCACTACTGTGAGGTGTGACAACTTGTACCGATGCAGTTGTGTGCCAGTTTCTAAGTTAAATTTGTCAGTCAGTCAAATGTATCGTGAATGTTAATTAGAAATTTGACTGACAGTTATATTGAGAAGCAGATGGATACTTATGCCTAATTCTTGAGTCCTCTGTTAAGGAAGTACTTTCCCAGTTAAGCTAGAAAACTTTGTTGGATTGACTAACTGAACGGTTCGCATTTCCCATTAATCCTTTGTGAAAACGACTTAAATCGGTCCAAAATGTGCACTGAATTCCGTGAAGTTCACTTATTTATAAAGTTCATATGTGAGTTGGAATCACAATGAAATAATAGCCTGTCTGAACGTTCCTATCGTTAGACATTTGCGGTGCAGAAACTTGACATGGATTTGGCCGTAGCTAAGAAATACTGAGGTAGTCGAAAAGAGAAAATCGACTTTAGTTGATTTATTAGATGAATCACACAGTGGTGCACTTTATTGTCCATAGCTATATTAGAATAACTCCATGACTAGGTTCCGAACGATAACCCACCATTCACAACCAAGTGGTATGGTAGGACGTTTCCATCTATGGGTGACTGCTGCGCTTTCAGTCACAAAACACACTTCAATGGACCAAGATATATCAGATAATGTTTTTGGTACGTGCGAGGCTGAAAGACAAAGTGTCTGATTTAACTAATTTTTGTTAAGTTTGTCATTTCAGCTACTCCTGTGGAATTAGTCATGTCGGTCAACACTTAAAAAGTTCTTTTATTTGTTTGAATTTCCTTGGGGGTTTATGGGGATTTAGTGACTTTTCAAGTTAGCAATCATCATGAACTGACATCAGTTGGAGGAACATTAGAAACCTGGGAGCACTGGACAGCTGTTTCTTCCTAGTATGGGACTCTTCGGAAGTGGGCACCCACGACCCCACCAGGGAAGCAAACCTGAGACATTCAGGTTCCGTGACCAGCACGCTACCACTGAGCCACTGGGTGGGAATCCAGTGGTCCATATTTCGTACTTCTTCCAGTTCATGGCATAGCACGATCGTCACCCAATATCATCGTTGAGTCCTTGTCCTCATGGCCACCAGGGTGTGCACTACTGAAGAGTTGCATACTAGGATGAAACAGGTGTCCAGTGTTCCCAGGTTTCCAATATTCCTCCAACTTATGTCAGTTCATGATGAATACCAACTAGAAAAAGTCTTTATTTTCGTGCTTGGCAAAACTAACCATGGCTAAATAAAGGTATACTAGCCCACTTAGTCCAAAAAGATCATAAAGTTAGTATTAATCAGTCATTGGAATATGGCCGTCTGATCATAGAAAAAATAGAGGAGACGGCTGCCCCGAAATCACTCTCTTAACCGTCAATTCGTGAATATATTGTAGAAATGACACAACAATAATGAGTATTTTCGGTCAATGAAAATAAATTTTATATATATATATATATATATATATATATATATATATATATATGTAGGTGCTTAAAATGGCGAAATCAACAAATGAATACAAAAT